GCTGCTGCTGCGTGGAGTATTCCCCCTGTGGTTCCTGTCTCTGCCTTTTTTACCATTGCGTCCGTCTGTTCCTCTGCTCTTGCCTTTGCTGCTTTTGTTACTGTTGCTGCTCCTTCCTCAGTTGTCTTTCCACTTTTGAACGTTCCTTGCGAAGCTATGATGATGCCCACTGTTTATTTATGCTGCTTTACAAACAAACAATTTGCAAGTCATACACGAATTCTACGATTGCCATGAATACGCAACTGGACAGGAGAAGCTGGTCGCCTCTTCATGCCTTTTCTTCCTCGCAATTGGAAGCCTTCACAGCCTGCAGGAGCACCAGCAACAGAAGCAACTGTTACGCCACAACACCAAACAGCTCATCAGTCGTTGTGTTATAGTGTCTGTTAGTTAGAAAGCGGGCATTAGACTGGGCGCGGTAGTGTGAGTAGTGGCAACAACACTGACAACAACAACAGCAGGATCGACATCAACAGAACCAATAGAGTCGAGGTCAAAGGGAGCCGCAAACCGAAAGGACGAGCAACAGAAGAATGTGCAGCCTATCCACAGAAGAGACTCCCATAAGTCGATTCGCTCCGCACTGTCCAATATTGGGCACGCCATTCGCTGCCAGCGCGAGCAGTCAGGGCACTTGCGATCAGGCTGATCGGTAGCAGCTACCGGGTCGTCGTCATGCGCATAATCGGCAGCACTCTCGTACTGAATATGCAGCAGATCTTCCCNTACGAATCCTGCTACAGCTGAGCTACATATTATGGACGTCAAAGAAAGGCTTTATCAGGGGAAAGCACTGCAATGCAGGCAATGGGAAGGTCTACGCTTCAGCTGGTAATTGTGAGTGGAGCTTCAATGTGTGCACTACCGAAGGGTGAACAACCGTTGTACCAACCAGCGTCCCGTTGATCTTCAAGTGGCTGTGCAAACGTGTTGAAACTGCGGCTTCCAAGCAACCAGCTGCTGCATGTAAAGCTTGCCTTTCGGTGCAATACACAGGTATACCTCATCGCAGGCTATGGCATTCTACTGCATTTGTTAGGTGGAGGGGCATGCGCACATCGCATACGAATGCTACTATATTTGTCGCTCCCTCGAAAGAGCAGCTGCCATTAGAAAATACGTTCGTTGCCAGATGCAGCAAATGCTCCCGCGGAGAAGGCGTTTCTCTGCCATTCTTGACTGACTTGACTTGAATTCATCTGGCGGGCAGTCAGCTCAAATGTTCTGGCGGTTTGTACTATGGCTGTACAGCGTCCACCACTCCACCACGATAACCCTGGTACCACACTCCCATTCAGAGAGTCTAACCGTGGNCTGTACAGCGTCCACCACTCCACCACGATAACCCTGGTACCACACTCCCATTCAGAGAGTCTAACCGTGGTTGCTAAGCCTTACTCCACTTCAAGTTGCTGGCTCGACGGGTATGTCTGTGATTTTAGAGAATACCACATACGAAGTGGAGCATGGTGGTACACTCCATTCAATATTGTGCCTATCTCTACAGTGTTCATTTTCTTCCAGCTCAGCTCTGGTATATAATGGAGAGGAGAAACATACAGATTCGCAAAAAGATCCAGTTGCATGTAATTTTTGAGAGTTCTTTGCACCATTTTAGATAAAATTTGAGCAAAAAGAAAGCCAGAAAAGTAAGCTCGCTTCCCAAAACAAGACTTTTCCGCCCGTCTGCATATGAT